GCTTGCCTGGCAAGCTCAAGGGCCTGAGTTTAATCCCCAGTTCCACCAAAAAAAAAAAAAAAAAAAAGCATGGTTGGCCACATGAGGCACCCTTGCCTTTGCAGTGCCGGGCCTGAGTCCACGGCCTCTTGATCACGCGCAGGCGCTCCCCACTGAGCGCCTCCCATGGCTGCCCTCTTTTATTCGTTCTGAGTCAGGGACTTGCTATAATGCCCAGGCTGGCCTTGAATTTGTGGTCCTGCCTCAGTCTCCTGAGTAGCTAGGATTACCTATGTACCGCTCATGCCTGGTGTGGCACCGTCCCTCCTCTTCCTGCTACAGGGAGAAAAACTGACCTCGGGTGGGTGACCTCCAAACGCAGGGAAAAATGATCCCCCGACCTGACCTGCGTGAGTTCGTGTTCTCTAAAAAAGAAGGAATTTTAGGAACAAGCGGAGGTTATGAGCAGAATATATTTATTAGGGGAAAGAAAGCTCCTGTCCAAGAGAGGGACAGGAGCGGGTTGTTCCCCGGGAAGCTGTCTCTTCCAGGGACTTTTATAGTGTAAAAACATGCGGGGCAAGGTGGAGAGAATGGGAACTTGCTTAGGTGGGCAGGAGGTGGGACAAAACTATGGCCAACCAATGAGATTGCAAGCACCATTGCTCAGGTAAAATTGATTAAGTCCAGGACCAAATGGGGAAGCGAGTCACGTAGCAAGCGCGCATGAATGTACAACAGGGCTTTATCAGGTAGCCAGCCAGTAGTAGTCGGATTAGTGATTCTTGGTCTCCCTCAGGTTGACCATCAATCTCGGATTCCAGTCTTCAGGGAGGTTTGCTCGTTAGGTCTGGCTCACAGCAGGAGCATCTGTCCCTCCCACAGTTGTAAGGTAACTTGTCTTTTGTGCTGTCTCCTTCCAGGGCCTGGCCCTGTCTGACTGCCTATAATATTTCTATCTAACTCGGCTGCCTACGACATTCCTACCCACCCATCCACCCCATGAATGCCAGAGCACCTCCAGGGTGCTCCGGGTTCCACATCAAGTCGGGGGCTTTTCTGGAGCTGCCCACCTCTGTGATTGTGGAGGCTGGGGCTGAGGCCAGCTTGCGGGGAAGAGAGTCCTGGCTTGGTGGCCTGGGCGACCTGCAGGAAGCACTCACATCCTCGCCGTGGCACAGAGGACGGCGCTGGGTGTGAGCACCTTGCTTCTGGGGCCCAGGGAGTGGGTGGGATTGCTCTGGATGAGGGAGGCATGGAAGGCCGGGCTCTGGTGGGACACACCCACGCCTAGCAGGTCCAGTCTGATGGGGGACCTTGCCACCCCAGGAGGTGTTCGGATAGCCCAGCGATGCCCCCTGCAGGCCACCTGGGCAAATGACTCATCTGGCCGTGCAGGGTGGGGAGGTGGAGGGTGGGAGCAGCAGTCCCTCTGTGAGCACCGCCTCTGGAAAGTGTCCTTTGCTTCCAGGGCAGCCGAGCAGTGCAGCTTGCCCAGCAGCACACCCCAAGAAGGGCTCTCTGTGCTCCTGCTTCCTGAGTGGTCCTGCTGGGTCTGCTGTCAAGGGATCTCCTCAGCACAGACAGGGATGCAGATCCCACACAGCTAGACAGCCACGGGGGG